GAACTTCAAGGCATTCTGGGCTTTGGGCTTTCAGGCTTTAGCAGGCTTCTAGGAGTGGTGCACTTTGGGTTGCAGGTTTCGTAGTCTGTTACCGTACAGGATTGGTGATGCTTGAGCCTTTGAGGGTGTCCAATGTACACGCCTAGGCTTTAGAGTTTTGGGATTGCTGAGGGGGTTTCCGGTTTACACAGCCCGAAGCCTTCTGATAACGCTGGATCAAATTGTCGTCGGATGGATGCTCGAAGGGTTTTGATATAGTTATAGGAGCCATGTAATGCCAAGAATATGTTTCTGTTTTTTTTGGGGGGGGGGGGGGGGNNGGGAGGGGGGGTTTGACTTGAGGCATACCCTGCCAAACAGGAAGTCTTGCGGCCTAAACCCCATAGACCCTAGATGATCTCGGATCTGTGTCTTCCACTGTGAGGCCCCACCTTCTTGCCCTGATCCCACAGATCTGTCTGGCTTCGGTTTCGGTTTCACCTTTCAGGCTTTTGGGTTTTTGGGCTTTCAGAACTGAGGCCCTTGCCTTCCCGGGCGGTTCTGCGGTCCTTGCGGTCTCCCCGACGCAAACCCTGGGCCCGGTAAGACGAAATCATATCAAACCTACATGTATGCATGTGTAAATGTGTAAATGTGTAAATGTGTGAATGTGTGAATGTGTGAATGTGTGTATGTGTGTGTGTGTATGTATGTATGTATGTATGTATGTATGTATGTATGCATGCATGTATGTATTAATTATTCTTATTCCGAGAGTGTCCCTTTCCAGGATTGAGAAGCGCGAGCACCGTCTCTACCTAACCTGGGCCCTGCACCCTCAAGCCCGATTCCTACACCCCATTATGTAAACTCGAAGACACACAGAAATCCTACAAATCCTTGAGCACGAAGACCCTCAACGACTGAGTCCCTATCGAGCCTTTGTAAGGCCAGCGCAACAGCCCCCAGAGAAAACATCATTTTTCAAGAGACCTGGAGCTCCCTCAAACTCCCAAATTGTACACCCTCCGATTCCTCCCCCCAGGTACCCCCCAAAATCCCTATAAAGGTTACAACAACCCGGATTCCTGAAGCCCAAGTACCCCCCAAAGATCCCTAGAAAGGTTATATTAAAGGCCCTGAAGTCTTCTTTTTCGTGAGAGGCCCAGTATGGCGAATACCAGGCCGAGGACTCCCCCTGGAGCAACCTGCAGCTGAGCCGGAAGGGCAGAGATTTTTGGGTGCAGAGTTTAGGGTTGAGGGTAGTTGCAGGGTTGAGTTAGGGCTTAAGGGGAGTTTAAGGGTTTTAGGGTATAGAGTTCTTGGGTGTAGGATTCGAGGTTGTTCCTTGGTGGAGGGGTTTCAGGCTCGGGGCTTAGGGCTTAAGGATTCTTACTTGGGGTCAGGTTATTCGGTGTTCAGTTTTGGGGCGCTCGGATTTCGCTGCTTCAAGCATTGGGCGTGTTGAGGGGTTTGGTTTGCGATTCTGAAGTTCTGTCGGATGCTTCCCTGCTAGTTGCCTTTGTGGAGCTATGGCTCTTGTAATTGTAATCGGTTTGGATGGATGGCCTGTTTAGCGGGGAAGGGTGGGGGCGGGGGTTTTGGTTGCCTAGTCCCACGTGGAATGCTGAAAGCCAAGAAAGAGCTGTAAAGGACTACAGGAAGTCTGACCAGAGATCCAAGCTGCTCCGACATCCTAACCACTTCGCCAAATGCTTGCAGTTCCATGATGAAGGACTCACGGACTCATTTTGTCCGGAAAGTTCACTCTGAAACCCCGAAATTGGGAGCACTGCCATGGTGACCTGCCAGATTCAGGCACGCTCCCTCATGCAAGTTGCACAGGTTTACTTCACACATCACAACTTCTGCGCGTTCCGTTCATGCGAAACTCGTGTCAGTGCAGCCGAGGTACGTTTGCGGTGACTGCCGTCGTGGAGCTTCGCTCGTCGTCACCGCCATCGCAGAGGTGGAGAGTATCAGCCAAGTCCTGCAAGTTTCATGCTACACCAAAAGAAAGTGCAATCAGATTGGACAAGGCTTCCCTTCCGCAGCAGAGACTGCTGGATCCTTGCGTTGACCGATAAGGCTGCAACACTTGGCAGCATCCGTCCTTGAACCTCATCTGATCATCGTCAGAAGTAGATCAGGAAACCATCCAACTGATCAGCTGGAAACTGCGCATGGCCCATACCTTGCACGAGCAAGTAGCGGCTTTGCCAGAATCACTGATTAAAAGAGCACCAATAGCAATGAGACACTGAACACCCGAAACAGAACAGAGAACAACACTGATATCTGGTAGCCGAATCTGGTAGCCGAGGTAGAGATAAGCCAAAAACCTCGTTGCTACTGATGCTCTTGATTATTGGAGCGATGGGTATGATTCTGTTGCTGCGTGTGACTTTGAGGCCCCGTGCCTCCAATCCGAAAGCCCGACGCTGAAGGGTGGCCATGCCCTTCACGATACCTTGGCACCAGGACCCCCACCACCACCAAACACCGCCACCGCCACCGCCACCGCCACTACCACCACCACTTCCTTCTCATCCGACAGCGGTTCCGTGCGCATACCAGCGATGCCCCGAAGCAGAAGACCTTGGTGTCCAGATCGTTTGGAAGCCGCCCAAACCTGCAGGGTCGAGACTGCGCCGCTCGCGTGGATGCGCATTTGATGGGCAGCAGCTCGACACGAAGGGATGGGTTTACGAAGTATACGAGGGAAATGAACACAGTCTTGACTTTCAGGAGAGACGCTGTAGGAGACATATAACGATCGGATCGGCAGCCATAAGGGCAGAAATAAGAATAGGCGGCTATTGGCAACAACCAAAGTAGTTGCGTAGTTCTTTGGCTGCTATGCTGCAGAAGTTTTTTCAGCAGTGTTAAGGAGCCGGCTCGCTCAGGGGCAGGTTCAGGTCAAGAGCGCTGGGCAGGGTCAGATCCTTGGGCCTTAAACTATTCCCACAGTCGTAGTTGCGGTACCATAAAAGGGATTACCGGTCCAAAAGTCAGTTGTCTACTTTACGGCCTTTACAGGGGTAGGTCGCAAGCCACGAAGAAGGGAAACTCCAGACCAGAGTCTGCGAGAACTATTGATTCCTATTGAGTCGGAAGCTGGAGCCGTTTTTTCCAGAGCACTGAGAGGATTGTTTGATTGTATCTCGCACCACAGCATTTGTTGTAGCGTTCTTGCTGCAAGATGTGCCGTCATTCCCGATACTGCTCTGTGCCTATCAGTTATCAGTAGTTTCGAAGGACAGCGGTCATGGCTCTGGCACGGAGCCAACCCTGAACCAATCTCCTGCGGTGTGCCCTTGACAGTGGCAACAGAGTACGTCGTGTAAAGCACATCGCCTTTGGCAGCAAATCTCATGTTGGTTTTTAGGCTTTAGACATCTTGTATGTGGGTTTTTTTCGGACAGTTCGGGTACTTGGCAGGGGTACTGAGGTTCTCATCAAAAAGGGTGTAGAGTAGTCAGGGCAGGGCTATGCTCGGAGAACTCAAGGCAGAAGCAGCAGAAGCCGAGTTCCGCTGTATCCAACATCCAAGGCACCAGTCTGCCCCGTGCCGCTCCATTGGCCGCGAACCCTACTTACTTCCAGATGCCCCAGAAGGCCACACAGCGTAGCTAGGTGCAGTAGTGGTAGTGGTGGGCGTCGTAGTAGTGGTAGTCGGAGTCGTCGTGAAATAAGCCACCGCTCCTCGAGACAAGTCCAAACTTGAAGTGTTTCACGACAGGTTTGGAATCCGGGAGAGGGAAGTATAGTATTCAGAACCCAGGGTGCTGCATTTAGAGATGCGGGCGCTAATGTCCCGTTTGTGAGTGTTGGTTGCCGATTAGGGTTTGTTTGTCGTAGGTAGTTGGAACTTTGGAAGATCTCATCCTAGTTTGTCTGGTCTCGTCCTGCCTTCTTACCAATTCTTTTTCGTCTCTCAGTACTTACCAAGAGTGCAAGAGAGGGGCCGCGAAGACAGCTGCAGTTTTTGCCTTCGGGTTCAAAGCTGCTTTTGTAGCGGCCCTACGGTTCAACGTTGATCACTCTTGTTCGAAAATCATCGAGATAAAAACTAAACCCTAAAAACCTAAGCCCTAAACCCTAGAGCCCTAAACCCTAAAACCCTAAAATCCCCAAAACCCCTAAAAAAGCCCTATTCTGCCGTAGCGTCTTCCGGGCGCAGCGCCAGGGCGCCGAGCCGAAGGGCCTCGTGAAGAGACATCTCCGAAAGCCCCGGGGACTCGGAGCTCTTAGAGGTTTTAGGGGTTCTGAAGGGTGTTTAGGGTATGTAGGATTTTTTGGGGTTTAGAGAGATATAGGGATTAATTTAGGTTTTAGGGTTTAGTATATTTAGGACTCTGACCTCTTAGAGGTTTTAGGGATTTTTAGGGATTCTCAGGGGTTTTAGGGTTTAGGATCTAGGGTTTAGGGAGGGATTGAAAATTTCTCTGACCTCTTAGAGGTTTTAGGGCAAAGTTTAGGGTCTAAGGGTTCTAGGGTTTAGGATCTACTAGGGTTTAGGGAGGGATTTCTCTGACCTCTTAGAGGTTTTAGGGTCTAAGGGGCTTTTTAGCTTTTGGATATAGTTAGGGTGTTTTAGGGATATAGGGTTTAATTTAGGGTTTTTAGGCTTTAGGATCTAGGGGTTTAGACATATAAAAATAGGGTTTGGGGATTCGATCAGGGTTTTGTGTTCAGGAAGGGACTTCTCGGAGTCGCAGAGTCCTGGGTTTGCTAAGCCGCTGGTGCCAGTAACAACCTCCGTGCCCTCCCTTGACTTGTGAGGTTGTACAGCTGTGCACATCCAAACCCGTCAGCCCTCATCCGGGATACGATACAAAGCGCATAGACGCCAGTGTCCGAAGGCCCTGAGACCGCTTTGGCAACTCCAATGTCCAATGCACCTAAACGAACAGCCCGTGCAAAACCATGTACTCCAACAGCCCGAAAGCAAACCCGAAACCCCTGAAGCCCCAGTGCAAACCCCGCTCGCAGCCCTTAAAGAGACGACGATGTCCCAGGCACCACTACGCCACGGCCGAGGTCACCGCAGCCTTCGAGAGAGGCCTCCTCGTCGACAACGCGAAGCCGGAGGATCCAGTATGGGGGTGGGAATGGGATTTTAGGGCTTAGTGTTTTGGGTAATCAGGGTTTGTTAACATTTTGGGTTGATATAAAACGGGGTTTTGCAGGGATTTTTGGGGTTTAGGGTTTAGGAGGTTCAGGGTTTAGGGCTTCGTTTCGGAGTTAGGGCCTGGCCAGAGGTTTGTAATTTGTAGCGGTTGAGGGCTTCTTCTCCAGTCCTCTTCAGAGGGTACTCAATGACAGTGAAAAATGCCCAAGAACAGCCTGAACCGCTCTGGAGAGCTTTTGGCATCGGGATCCTCGAACCTGACTCTAGTGGCCCTTTGTTTCCGATTCTCTGCGTGGATCGAGTCATAGTTGAATTGCAAAGCCTGGGTTTTTGTGAGTTTGGAGAGTGGAAGCCTTTGGCTTGGCGTCGTCAGTGTTGCTTTAAGGCATGACATGTTGACGGCAATCAAGTCCTTTTTCGTCCTCCCGAATGACACTAGGCACGCTCCACGAGCATCAGACTCCAGGAGGCTTTCGTCTGAGACCCAAAAAGCCCCAAACGAATCCATCCAGGAGACAGAGCCCAATCCCGAGCCTGGCGCGGACACTCGCGTCGGCTCCCCTCAGGCCGGTTAGACTTGACAGGTTCCCGATGCCGTGGCAGCTTTGCAGATGTCACTCTTGCATTATCCCCTACTCCCACTCCCACTCTTATTCCTGCTCCTACTCTTACTACTTACTACTAATCGCAACTACCAGTACTACTGAACCCCCAGCAGCAAACACTCCCTCGACCCTCCGAAACCCCTCCGAAACTCCGAAATTCCATGTGTTGCCCAGGCAGCGGCTCCGGCCCCTCGGGCCGAGGAATCGTCCAATGCTGCGGCGATGCAGTCGTCGTACTCTTAGTATTAGGGTTCAGGGTTTAGGGTTTAGGGTTTCGGGGGAGTCTTGGGGTTTTGGGTTTTGGGGGGTTTAGAGAGTTTAGGGTTTCGGGTGAGTCTTGGGGTTTAGGGTTTCGGGGGAGTCTTAGGGTTTAGGGTTTTGGGGGGTTTAGAGAGCCACGCTGTTGCGTTCCTGCCAGCGCGACCACTTTCCACTGCTAAAGCCCCTCTCCCAGAACCGTCACGAGCATGATCAACAAAGCATCGATCTTTGAGGCTGGCGGCATTGAACTCCATGCAGTCGTCAGCGGCCGAGTCGAAAGGGTGTGAGAAATCAGCAGCTGAATGTTTCCCCCGGGAGGGCACAGGCTTGCTGGGGTTTGGTCCTCAGGGCCGCGGGATTCCTAGGAAACCAGGATTTGGGGCATTCGAGCGCAGGGTAGTAGACTGGCGCTGATGATTAATTAGCAGATTAGCACTACTTTGCAGATGGTTGTTTTGTTTCATGTTGGTCGTGATGAACCCCTGGGCCCCTTCGGCACTGCTTGTTGTCATTTGTCACCGCGCACCCTGCAATGGTCGGCTTGTAGTTCGTGGCAACAGCTTTGGAGACGGAGGATATGGAGAGGAATGGACGAAGAAGACTGTAGCCATAGTGCCCTCGAATTGAAAAGTAAGGCCTCGTAGTCCCAATCCTGCTCGGGCCGTGAGCTATCAGTTGATAACCCGTCGCAGTTTGGCGAATCAACTTCTCGGTTTCTTGCCCCAGGCAAGTCAGAACGATGTCGCTGGTTATCGGTGGCCCCAGACCAAGCTTTCTTGAGAAATTGTTCGATCTGAGCAGATCGAAGGGGCTCTGGAGGTAACAAGTTGCATGCTTGGATTAGGTACTCCCAACTCTAGGGTTAATTCACCACGGGCGGCCAGGTCGGTTCGTGGTTTCGGCCGACACCATCAACTGGGTTTACAGAATGGGTTTCGGTCAGGGGGAGGCTTGGAAGTGGATTTCCTTACCAACCAGGTCTCGGTCTTGAAAGTTGCTTCTCCACGTACTTTGGGGCTTTCTTTGCCTTGGCAGGGGACATAAAGGATCAACTGGTGGAGAAGGAGTGGGATTGCACTTGTAATTTTTATTGCCAGCTGATTCAACAAATTGGCTGTCTTACTTACAAACTACTTACTTACTAGCTGCCCGAGCTTTCTAACCATGCCGTTTGTGCAACGGGTTGCCTAACCGCCTGAGCAGTATCTACTGATAAGCCCAATAGGTACTTCGACCCCCATTCACAGCCACTCAGGACGCAGTCATGTGCTGCCATTTAAGGTCTGAATACTCATGAGGCAATCCGGTGAAGATGAATTTAACGCGACAGACTAGGGCGAATCTGATGGGTCAATAGTGCATAAGATCATGGAATAAGTGTGTTTGGCACAGGTCTCGCCGCACTCAATGCTGGGCTTATCTTCGCCCTCCTCAGAAACAAGCACTGAGAGAGCGCGCTGTCTCTGCCACCCTGGGGCGGACGGGGGTCGTCCGCTTGGAGTTCCGTTTGAAGATGTTTGCCCCGAGCTGCAGACCCAGCCTCCCTGGAACGTATGCATCTGAGATCTCCGCAATTCTCCGTAGATTCCGTAGATGCCTGCCTCTGCAACACTTCTGGGTAGTGACGGAGACTCAGAGCTTGGGGTGACGCTGTGGAAATGTCTCAAAGCGTTGTTTTCGATACTTGGACAAACCGAGCCCTCCTTCCCGAGTTGTTCGAGGTTTCGTAGGTGCACTTGAAGGTGCTGGGTGCAGATTTTAAGCTTCCGTTCCTTGAAACAGGGATTTAAGAGACTGGGCATAGATTTTCCCTTCAAGGAAGTCCTCTTGGTACCAGTAGAACAGGTTAGCACCTCTCTTGCCATGAGGGGTGGAGAAGATCTGCTAGGTGGCGATGGTTCTAACACGCTGGTTACAGGATCCTTATATTGTACCATGAAGTACCCTATCCGGTCATCTAATAGGTCAACAGCATACAAGGGGTTCCCACTGTTGTGAAACTCTCATAGGGTGGAGAGCTGCGGACGACCCTCAGCACGCCATTACGCCATTTTCCCAACTGCGCCCCGCGCCCCTGCACGTGCAGGATGCGTGCGCGTGGTGCTCTGGCCCTTCGGCATTAGGCGAGGACAGCGCTGGTAAAGCGCGACCAGGCACACAGCTTAGCCTGGAGGCATTGCTTTATTCGAATTTTTCTCGTTCGTGTCATTCGTGTCGACAAGATACGCAGTGCATGTGAATCACATGGCACTTTCAACTGCGCAGAACGTATCCAGGTCCCAGCTGAAGATGTTTGAATGTTGTGGCCGTAGTCAGTAGTTGTCGAAATGTTCAATGCCCTTCTCAGCTTGCTCCAGCCGAAATCCTGCGTGCACTCCTGAAATCTGTGATGCCACCTGGGATCTTGGTGCATTCACCTAGAGCTACAAGAGCAATACACTTTGAGCTTGTGGTGTGCTGCGATTCTCTGCCGGGAGCTCGACGCAGTAAAGATTCTCTTTCGTTCGCCCTTATTGCGTCTGTCTGAGCACAGAACAACTAGCTAAGACCAACAACAAAAAAGAATGACGAGAATGATAGATCAACACTATTGCTGTTTCTTGCGTCCAGCTCCGGTGACGACTCAGGTGGCTCCGGTGCTTCGGGGGGGCATTTCTAGAAGAGCAGAGCATGAGCCAGACCCCGAGGTTCTGAAGCATCCCGCAATTCTTGACTCAGGAGAGAGTGTGGAGCATATATTCTCCTGTCCGTCGAGGTTTAGTGCACAGCAGCTTTTCGCCACAAGCAGATCAAAAGCTCTGTCGAAGGTGTGCTGTGCTGGCCCGGTGACGATTGTCCATGCAAGAAAGCACCCTAACAAGTCCAGCAAAGCCGTGAAGGCCGGAAAACAGGCAGAGGAGTTGTCCCAAGAATTGCTGAACGGTGGGTTTCCTTTAACGCCAGGGCGTGATCGCCCTACAAGCCGCATAAGCACTCAACTCCAAATCCTGAGCCTCGCACTCAACCGTTAATCCCTGCGCCTTTGGGATTCTCAAGCTTCTCCTTAGTTTGAGTTGTGATCTTGAGCTCTGGAGGTTCACCACATGTCACGTTGATCCTGCATAGGTATGCGAGCAGTGGTATACCGATTGGAATCAGCGAACTGTTGATTGCATTTCTGCACACAGATATTATACACATATATATATATATACATATATACACACATATATATACATACATGCATACATTACATTACATTACATTGCAATACACTACATTGCATTGCATTGCGTTACATTACATTACCTTACATTACAATACGATACAATACAATACAATACAATACAATACATACACGTACCTATACATACAGACATACGTGCGCACACCCATAGATATACATAGATAGATAGATAGATACTAGATACATGTACATATTGCATATCTATGTTGTACACCTATCAGCCCCAAGCATGCCCGCACGGCAGATGCAGAGTTAAGCTTTCTTCCCTCGAAGGGTCGGTGTTGCAGCGCCCAGCATGGGAACCACTTGAAGTTGAAGGGAGCCTAAGTCTGGAACGTAGACACAACCATTGAGGCCCACAGCGAAGCGAAAGGACAAGCCATTTCAAGCATGATGAGGTTGCATAGTGATCTCGTTCCGCGGCCAGAGCGGTACGCCTGCTAATGACAGACACCTCTGCGCACGCGCGATCCGGGCTATCGGCTATCGCATATGAGCTGCCAAGGTTTCTTCAAGCATGTTTGCCTTCTCTGGTATGTCTCTGTGTGTGTGTGTGCGTGTCTATGTCTGTTTTTGTGGGGAGTCGGTGTTTCTGTGCCCATGTTTGTGTCCATGTGTGTCTGCGTGTCTCTATAAGTCCGTGTGTCCGTGCACGTGTGGGTGCATGAGTGGGCGCAAGTGTGTGTGTGTGTGTGTGCGTGCGTGTGTGTGTGTGTGTGCACACGCACGTTCGTGTGTGCGAGCGTGTGTTTGTGGGTGTGTGTGTGTGTGTTTGTGTTTTTGTGCTTTTGTGTGTTTGTTTGTTTGCTTGCTTGTTTGTTTGTTTGTTTGTTTGTTTTGTGTTCTTCTTGTGTGTTTGTGCGTGCGTGCGTGCGTTCTCGTGTGTTTCACGATTTCAGTGTGTTCTTCTAGGTTTTTTTCTTGGTTTGCTTTTGCTTCGAAGCACGGCTCGGACGAATGGCATGAGAACGTAGTTGTCGACACCACGACTTGGGCAAGTTTACTGCTTCAGTGTTCGCATCAGGATGTCTTGGACATTGCAAGTAGCAGCAGCACTAGTGCACGAAATGCCCGGCCGCGTCGCAGCATAGCTTCCACAACAGATCAAGCATGATCCGCACAACATGCGCGAGCAAAAGGATAGGGACCCTAGGTTGGGTTCAGCTGGCAGCCGGGGTCTGAGCTGCAGACTATAATTAATTCAGGGGTTTCGTCAAGCTGTCAAAGTTTTCGGCACTTTACTGGGACCCTAACAGGCACATCAATTGAGGTTCTGAGGCATATCAGGTGCTCAGGGCACTTTGCCACTTTGCACTTCGGAAACCTCCCCCACCTACTGCTTCTTTAAAGATGTCTCAACTCTTAACAGAGTGTCAGAGCCACACGGCCATCAGTTACTGTAGCGGGCAACAAGACGTTGCAAGCTACTTACTTCATATGGTTGCCTTCTTGAGGTCTAAGTTTAGGGCGTTGTTACGGTGTCTTTGCGTGGTTCAGGATTGCTTAGACTAAGCAAACCAAGTTCGGATGACAGTTCTAGTTCCGGCTCAGTCGGTGTGTTCGGATTTGGGCCTGGGCTTGTTTTATAAGAACGCTAAGGATCGACAACAGTTTGGAAGAGCGAAGGATGAGCACATGCTGTCTGTTGTCGTTTTGACAGGTTTCTCGGGTCTCGTTCGCGGGGTTAGTGTGTGTGTGTGTGTTTAGCACTGGAGTCGTAAAACGAATAGATGATTTGTAGTAGGTGCTGTGCTGCTCTTCACCCCTGGTAAAATTGATCTTGTGTTGCACTGTTTGACATGCAAGTTCGATTTGCATCTCAAAAATCGGAGGCAATTGATGTGCCCAATCTCGCGCAAAGCATGCACTCTTGGCACAATTGCAGGCCACCGCGCGGCCGACCATGTACGCAGATTGCCATTGCATCGTGCCGTGATACGGGCTTGATACGGGCGCACCAGGTGCTCCAGCCAAGTTGAGGTCGGCAAATCGAAGATGAGGTCGGCCAACCGGCAGAGCAGTTCCTCGTCGTTTGCCACCAAGATCCTTGCCTTAAGAAGTTGTAGGACCCGAGCAACCCTCACAACATCGTTGAACCAATTTCAAGCAAAGTTGTGCGAAGTCTCCTTCACCTTCAGGAGGTTGATCCGGGTCTGAGACTGCTGGTTGGAGGACATCCCAACTGAATTTCCTACGAATTGTCTTCGATTCGCTAGCCGGCCGACAGCAGGGGTGTCCCCTCACGCTTACCATGCGGTCGTGCAGCATCTGCTTTTCGAGCTCTTGGGGTCTAGCTGAGCCTCCAGCTGCTAGCGCCCGCGCCCTCCGCAAGCGCCAACCCGCAGCTGGCAGCTCGACATACGTGGCATTCGCAGACGCGAGAAGTGCGTGCTGTAGATGACGGACGCTGTTTCTCAGACGGCTCCGCTAAGTGGCTGAGTTTGTCGAAGTACTGCACGCCGCGCACCTCCGCCTCCACGAAAGATGCGCCTCACGTTGGACTTTTGTTGCTGTCACATCGCTGCAGCTGGAAGGGCGCACCGTCATATCAAGTTCGATCCTTTCTTATCTTTGGGCTGCGTTGTGAGTGGGTGGTCGCTCGTTGGTGGCGACGGCTTCTGCCAACGCATCGCTAAACAGTTGAGTTTGCTGGAAACCGTAGCTGCGTTGCCTGATGCACGGTTGGCTTGCGGACCACCCCGTTTCCCATCCTCGTCCGGTGGAGCTTGCCGAGCGTCACGCCACCCTGCCAGCTCACGACGGTGGCAGGAGGACTCCAACACACTCCGACTCTCGATGCCCCTTCCTGTTGCCTGGAGGAGCGTTTGAATTTGCCCTCCGGCACTGCCAGGAGCACTTACGAATCATCAGTCTTCATCTTCACAATCTGATTTTGTTTGCGGCGGCCAGGCCTCCGAAGGTCGCACCTCGCATTGCCTGCAAAAGCACGGACATGCGCGCCTTTGGACGAGCCCGATGTAGGTTTCGTAATTGTGCGCCGGTGTACACCCATCTCTTAGCCTGACATGCCTTGCTTACATGTACGCGTTGAATCTCAAGACCGCCGCCGTGCATCGCAACATCAGCCTTTCGTGCAGAACCGAACAACAAAGCATTTCTGGTCGTTTCCTGTTTTGTGGCACGATCGGTAGGGCCCCTCGGGAAAGCTTGTCGTCGCTGCCGAATCGCGCCCCCTGCAACGGGCCATGTGTGATATGCAAA